TGAAAATAATCGAAAACACTTCTCACAGGTAAATACATTGTCATTAGAATTTGAAGAATACATTTCTTTTCGTTTTTCTTTTCAGATTAGACACATAGAGTATATCGTGCTAGACGCCGATTCTGATCCATATGGTAATAATAGTGTAGGTGATTTGCCAGATTTTCTTAGTTCTCTTTCTGTATTTTGAAATTGTATGTGCTTTACTTTGTTCTCTAGTTGGTTTATAGACCATCTGTTGTAGCTGAGGTCACAGCAGAAGATCATTTGATTGTCGAAACAAGCCCTAGAATTGTAGAGTCGAGTAAGAAATGTTTCAAAAATAAAATAAAATAAAAAAATGAATTTATCGTTGAAATCTCTCAATAGGTCGACTCAATCTAGAATCCATACCAAATGAATTATTGCGTGAATTATTCGAATATTTGCCCGTGATTGATCTCTTTCGTGGTTTATATCCACTCAATCGACGATTGGCAAAACTCGTGGAAGAAACCCATTTGCGAATCGATTTTCGAGGTCTTTCAATCGATGAATTCAATATGATCTGTGCTCGAATGGATCCGAAAAAAGTTGAATCATTGACGCTAGCAAATGCGGATTTTAATGACACATATACTACACATTCATACGGACAAGTATCTCTCTTTTTCAATTGTTTCCATCCTATTCAGTTCATCTCACTCAAATCACTGCGAATCATTAAGACAGATGATTGGCAACAATTGGAAAGGCTATTGGATCAACTTAAAAGTGTTTCACTCAACAATTTATACCTCTCTGTTCAAGATGAAGATGTCGGATTTTCTCAGTGTCTACCACTGCTTCTGCGTTCTACGCACTCTCTTTCAATACATGGAATGGCGCCCATGGATAACTCGTTGTCGTTCATCTCTCCACTTAATCATCTTCATCGTCTTACCTGTAATCCAATACACAAAACAGCACTTGCTTCACTATTGTTTCACACACCAAAACTTCAGTATCTCAGTGTGAAACTCGAGGATCAAGATGATTGGCTCCTTTATTCAGATGACGACGACAATAATGATGATGAAAACCATGTGCCATTTGAATTGCCTGATCTCTGTACTCTATTCATAGAATGGGATCAAATCTCGTTGAATTATATTGAGTCTCGTTTGCTGCCGCACATGCCGAACCTAATTTGTTTATCTCTCGTCGGCACTTCTGAGGAACCAATCAACATGTTTGCTCTTAAATGGGAACAAACCATTCTGGCTCATGTTCCACATCTAAGGCTCTTTCGATTCTATGTTACTGGATCGACTGCAGACGTTACTCTAACAATTGAGGAATTTTTGGAGCCCTTTCGAAGAGAATTTTGGCAAGAACGACAATGGTATGTTGGTATCGATGTTGTAGATGATACCATCGATCATATTTTTACGCTACCATGCCCAATTCGAAAGGATTCTCCCTTTAGAATGATTACAAACATGCCACGAAATTTAACGACAATACCATTGTCATGTAAGTACTCTGAAATGCTGACCATTTCTGTATTGCAAGGTTTTCTAAATCAGTCATTTTCTCTCCTGATCCTATTTACACGATGACGTTGAAATTTCGTTCCTTGAAAGGCAATCACAAATAATCTTGAAGAATTTATTGCTTTGAAAGGAGCTGATAGAGTCGTTTTTCAGAGTGAATACATGAAGAGTTTGTTACAATCGACATGAATTATGCAATCAACTTGATCTGTAGAATTGAAAACTAGTAGTTTCATTTTTTTTTTTCTTTTAGTTATTTCTAAAACAATGCTAAGAAAGAAACACGATTGATGTACAAATAATTTTTGATAAACATAAAGATGGTGCCTGCTGGGTTTTCCACTATCCGCTGATTCCATAAGCAGTATTGAATTACATTCTAAGAATTTATGAAGAAGTAAAATCTATTTCTGATCAAAACTAAAGTGGATCGCAAAAATTTAGGACACGTAGTACTTCATGGATATTTTTTGTTATCGAATGACAGAAAAGAAATTCTTAATTGATTAGTAAGTTAAAAGATTGAATATAAAACAAAAAGTTAAAAATTTGAAAAATATTGTAGTTTCTTGAGCGGAGCTTGTTCTGTCGAATGAGACCTTGCGCACTCTTGTACAACGTGTCATTTACGAAATACAACTATTGAAACAAATTGTATCACATGGATGATACGTTATGTAAATGTGCACAAGGTTTTGTTCCATAGGACAAACTCTACCCGACAAAACGTACTATTTTTCAAACTTTGAACTTTCTCTCTTATGCTCAATTTTGAAATTACTAATCAAATATAGAGTAAAATTTAACGAAATGCTGTAAAAAATCTTATTACAAGGAGTTATTGTTGAACAAAAATGTAATTACAAATTTGTCCATTTTGTAATACTCTTTCTGATAGTGTTCTTGAAACTCGAAAATCATGCTATCATTTTTCTATACTTCTTAATTATTATTAAATTGTAATTGTTATACACAGTCATTTTTCAAAAATATCTATACAAAACTTTAGCACATCCAATTTCTTCTTTAATAATACATTCTAGAATTTTTTTTCTTGATAGTCAATGATGTGAAAACCCTAAATCATAGAGTTGTGCGAAAAATTCTACTGCGACATTGAATTTCCATTGAACTTTTGCAACAAAACCAGTAATTCGGCTCTGTTAGTTTCAGGTATTAGTATTCGAACTTCATCCATAGAAAGATATTCACAGTGCTAGCTCTTTATGATGCTCGAACTACGCTAAATTCTACGAGCATAGTTTGAATCAGACAACGACTCCTCACTTCAAGAGATTATTTCTTTATATAACTATCACGAATTGCAGAAAACTATCTCAAATGTAGGCACTGCAGACTAGTCAGCACTATAACAAATAGTTTCATTTACTAGCGCATAAGATAATGAGCCCAATAGGTGATATAGGTTTGATGCCTCTCAATTATTCGGCAATCAGAAAATTTGCAAAACGGAAACTATTGTTAGTAGCTTGTCTATATAGTCTAATAGAAGTGTTTATTATGCAGAAATGGCTTATCATTTAGGCAACAAGGATCTGATTAATTTTGATTCGGTCTCAACTCTGAAAGTCTTCAATGGTAATATCAGTTTTCCGAATGAAACCGAACGTTGCCTCTATAAGAATGTTCAATCGTTGATTATTGATTTACATGACTATGGTATCATACTTTCTCGGCGCATTCGTTTATCATTCGTTCGTCACTTGACTCTGCAAAGTACTATGAATGATGCACCGTTTTTATGTCTTCTCATCGTGATGACACAATTGGAGTCAATTTCTTTCGCAAACGGGACTAGCTTTCTGTTTTCATCACTCAACAACCCCCTGATTTGTGAATGCTTACGAGAACGAGCACTGAAAAAGTTGCGTATAAGTGATGATGAAAATGGATATCTAGCCATCGAAGACAAGAGTTCTTTTCCAATCGGACAATTTATTCATGTATTTGGCAACAGTCTGACTCATTTATATTGGGTCGGACCATCATCGACGATTTCTTTTGAAACATTGATAGACTGCTTGCCAAAACTTAAGAGTCTTGCTATCGATTGGAAAATCACGAATCCACCCAGTAGCAACATCCTTCGATGGCTCGAGTTGAGAATTCGACCAACAACATATGTTGCAACCAATAAAGGTTTGGATGTTGATGGACCCACTTGGCGTATTTGGCTTTAATCATGGGTTCAAACTATTTATTCGTGCAAACTAATTTTAATTGTGTTGATGTCTGAATGAATAGAGATTCTTGCAATGCAAAATAATAGCGAAAAATATCTTGAGGGTGTGGGTATGGTGTGTGTATATGTAAGGTGCTCTCCACGTCCAGACTAAATGTAAAAGAATGGTCTGCTAAGTTCTGTCACCATATTGTAATGTATCATTCTATTGTCATTTTTATATTTATTTATTTCCATAAAGATAGTATAATGACGATTTCTTAAACAAAGTAGCAAATTAAAATAAAGAAATAAATCATTATAAATATGTTTTATACAATAGACACCAGATTTATCGAATTTTATTTTTAAGTATATTAGTACTGTTTCATGTAATCGAGAAAATGTAATTATTACGGAAAAAACAACATATGATTAGGCATACAATGAAGAGATAAAAGAGAATATAAAAGGAAGATATAGGAAATAAAAGATATTTAAATATGATTATCCATTTGGGCAATGTAAGTCCTGCAATTTTAATAGGCTGTCCACCAATAATCGATGACAATATTTAGCAGATAAAAACATAAACTTGTAGAGACGGCTTATTTTTCAAGTTGTACTAAGGAAAATAATATAAGACCACACACACAAAAGGCTGACAGCTTTGACGGATACTCGTTCCCACTCACACACTTTATACATTGCACAACAAATCAGAATATCGTGCTTAGGCTATAAATCGATGTTTCTTCTGATCGATCATGTTAAAGAAAATTTTTATCATTCTAATATTCATTACAGCAAGTCCGTTATTCGACATAAAGGAATATTGCGATCATATACTCAATGACGCCGCATAATATTCTTATTCTTTATATAAAAGCACAAGAAAATGATGCCGGACAGTATATATTAGAAACTCAAAATGAATTTGGTATTCATACTAAACAAACTCAAATAATTGTCTTAGCCATAGCAAAAAATTAAATTTAATTCAAAAAATCCCTAAACTTGAATTGACAATAAATCGCATTGATGTATTTCTAGAAGAGCGTGTAGTTCTTAATTTATTTGAAAATAGGGATACATCTCTTTTACGTCAAACAATACATTATGATACTAGTTTATATCGTTTACAAGCAACAAATGAATGTGTTACAGCAACATCATGTTTTGATATACTTTTTCAAATACTTCTGTCATCACAATGTGCACCATTACAAGTGAATGAAACCAAGAAAGATTATGTTAGTTTTGCTTGGCATACGTGTTCAGATGAGGATGAAGGTGAATTATTATCATTTCTTATTCAAGAGCATAGAGAAAATACATCGATATAGACAAAATTCCCAAGAATTCGTTCATCAAATATAACATAAACATATACTGATTTACTTGATCAAATCAATTATTATAATTTTAGAAAACTAGCTGAAAACCGATTAGGTTTTAATGAACTACTGTAATTATAGCATACTTTTATCGTTCAATTACCATATGAACGTCCTCGTTCACCAATAGATTCAATTAAAATTGAATTAATTACTCAAACAGATTATACATTAATAGAGTTATCAGCAATAGATAATGTTAGGACAAAAATTACAAGTTATATTAGTAAATGTAAAGATGATAGTCGACAATGATGAACAAAATTAGAATGTGTATCTGCTTGCAAAGTTACAGTTAATATAAAACGATTAAAAGAAGAAGCGATATATATATACTTCGCATAATGTCAAAAAATATTGTTACTGTGTGGATGTGAGTCTTCTCTTTTTAAGCCATAAGAGCTGATGAAGACGTTGTTATCTCTGAGTACTTCAACAAAATAGTTTACTTTTTGAAAGGATCCAGTCATGCAATTCAAGAACAACAAGTGACGTATAGATACTAATTGTTCTTAATATAGAAAGTTTGTATCTCGAAATCAAGCAGATCTATGCTAACCAATGCTTTTCGATAGTTTCTAGTGTCGTCAAGCTTAGAATATCGGCAAATATGAGGTTCATAGTTTTTAACCTATTAGCAAGATTCCAATATTAGAACAAAATAATGTGGGTGTGGGTGTGAGTCTGTCTGGGTCTGTGTGGGTGTGGATGAGTGTGGGTGTAGGTGTGGCTGAGTGCGGGCTTGGTTTCTGAGTGTGACTGATGACTAAGGGAAGACTAACGCCGACACGCACCCATCCACACCCACACCCACCCTTCCATTTCCTCATTTGTTAGACATTTGCTTATTTTGCTATTGATTCACAAGAAGTAATATTAAAAATCAGGCAAAAGCTACAAATTCTACACATATACAGAGTGACCCAAAAGTCTTCGAGTAGTTTTTGATTGCAAGCAACTTCTGATAGAAACAAGAAGGAGAACTGCGGTTTTCACCATTGAAAAGAGGAGACTTGAGAGTATCGAGCCATACAAGAAACATAATATTCAAAAACATTATTAGGAAGCCTTTGAAAAACCCAAGATGTTCAAAGTTTCTGTAACACTTTAAATTCTATGTACACCAGTTTGTTTAATGGTGGTTCTTCAAATACCTTCCAAAAAATTATGAATATTATGCTCCGTATATGGTTCGATACCTCGAAGTTTTCTAATTTCAACAGTGAAAATCGTAGCTCTCTTTCTTGTTTCAATAAGTATGGATGAATTTAGGTAAAGACAAGACCCACATCCGTATGCCTTTTCTTCGACGTTTTTCTTTTTGACCTTTCCACAGCACACCGATAAGATGCATGCAATCGTCGAACATTTAATTATTTGATTTTGCTGATAGTATCCAATGGAAGTTTTGTTGTTATAGCGACTGTCATAGTTCTCTCTTGAGTAGTTTTGATAGTTTTCTGATGAAGAAAATAATAAGAATGTAACATAATTATATCATCTCTATACAAGGCCTAGTGAATATCTCCAGCTGTCGAAAATATCATTTGGCTTCATATATTAGCTATTCATCGATAGGATTAACTTTTTTAATTAATACATGGTATCATTGTTATTATTTCTATTAACTTTAATTTTCAAAACTTGCGAATATCCTTTATGAATTCTCTGTAGAACATAACAATTACATGCAAATTAAAAAAAATTACGTTCACACAAATATCTTTGTTTATACACTGAAAGGAACTGTTAAACGTCGATAAGCATCTAATCCCAATTTAATTCGTTTTAATATTTCATCAAGCCATTTGTCTTTGACACAAAATATTATACGAAACCATCCCGGTTGTGTACAACCAAGAAAACTTCCAGATACTAAATAAACACCATGTTCAAATATAATTTGAAATAAACGAATTTCTTCTTCAAATGTAACTTCATGCAATAATAAACGAAAATCAGCCCATATAAAAAATCCTGCTTTAGCTGGTCGAACATAAATACGATTATCAATATCTTCTATTAACTTTTTAACTTTTTTATATTGTTGTGTTAAACGTAAACGATTTAATTTTATAAATGAATCAACCCATTCTTGATCAGATAAAAGTACAGCTACAATTTCTTGAACTATAACTGATGGTACTTGAATAAAATTAACTGCTGCTCCTGATGAACATAATTCTTTTGAGCCAGCATAAAGAACACCTATACGTAAGCCACTTAATGCAAAATCTTTACTTAATGACCAAACAAAATGTGTACGTTGTGGATCAATAATTGATGTATAATTGAACATTGATTGAAATGGTTGTTCATTTTCAAATACACTTAATGCATAAACTTCATCGAAAATAACATGTAAATTTTTTTCAGCAGCAAACTCTAAAATAGGTTGAATTGTTTGTTCATCATAAATATCTCCAGTAGGATTATTTGGATTAAGAATAATAATTCCACGTGGCTGGAGACCTTTATTTATTGCTTCATAATAACCATGTTTAAAAGTTTCAACTGAAAATAAAAATTTTCCACTATCTTGTTCAAGTGATGGACATCGAAATATGGCACAATTTGCTAAAGCTGCTATATCATGATCAAATGCGGTATAGTAAGGTGATGATATGAGAAAAACATCATCTATATCACCTATAAGATAACCTAGTAATGAAATAATACCACTTAATCCACTTGAAATTACCATTCGATCTAGATCAAGTTGATAATTAAGTTGAAAAGTTTTTTGAAAAAAATTACATAAAGCTTGTCGTAATGATATTTCACCAGTTGAATATGGATAATATAAATATTTTGTTTTCCATATTTGAATTGATTGAAGTTTTGAAATCAATTCATTTTCACATAAATAATTTTCTGCAACACCACAGTTACATATTCCATTGGGGTTTAATTCATCATCATAGGGATTCTTTTCAATAAGTATAAAATTTTTCAATAATTGTGTTATATTTTTACTTTCTTCTTGAGCACGAATGGAAAGTGTATCCATAATCTCAAATAATAAAATAAAAATATGTTTTTTTTCTAAAACAAAATAAAATAAATTTAATAATTATTTTTTTCTTTTACATAACAAGTATAAATAGTAAAAAAATGTCTAAAACATATCTTACAAGAAGAGAAATTGAATCAATAAAATAAAGTAACATGAAATATAATATAATATAAAAGATTAAAACCCAATTAAAATGGAAGAAAAAGAACAATATCATTAAAAAGTACAAACATGAGAATGTCTTTACAAATTCTGCGCTCTATTGAATGTATTCTCTCGCAGAAAAATTGCCAGTGAGTGTGTTGCATTGATAAACATATGCATGTGCGCTTATCAGTCAGATAACTAACGAAAAAAAAGATATTGTTACACCTAAAACTTGCATATTTTAACGTGTTAAAGAATATTTTTTATAAGAAGAAGCGAATTGGTGAAGAGCATTTTTTTTAAACTTGTTTTTTTTTAAACTTTACTTTTAACGAATTAACAAGTAAATGCTTCACGTGTAAAAACGTCGGCTTTTTCTTTCTTCATTATCTATCTGGATTCGTTTCCTCTCATAATAGTTATTTTGATGAGGTAAAAAGCTGCATAATGTACTTTGTTGTGATACAAGACAGTTTTGTACTTTTGAAACGAAGAGTACAGTATATTCTCTCAGGAGAGTACAGATGTGTAGGGCAAGCTTTTTTTCGTACTCTAACTCTACCCTAGCCGACAGGGTACAGTAATCTTGCGCATAATTATTCGATACTTTTCTTATTGGATTTCAAGTATCAACAATAGAAAAAAGATTTATTTCGACATTAATTAAAAAGTTTTTTTAAAAACAAGAACCTTTCCGTTCATGAAACATATTTGGGTCGTTGTCGAATGCCACATTATGTAAAACAATGATTCATTTATTTCATTCTGTTAAACATGGAGTGTTTGTGTACCTTCCATAATAGAAGCTGCCCCTTCATTTTAAAAACTTTTTGAAAATTTTTATTGGAAGGTTCATCATAAAACTTCCAGAATTCGAGATCTTAAGGTAAGAATTTGTTTGATTTTCTTTGGGAAGGGGTTTACTCTCTTCACACACCCTCAAGAGTGGACGGATGGACGAACGAAAAATGAAAGAAAAGTTCTCGATTAGTAGAAATATGTAGATAAACCTAGATAAGTGGTGATAGAAAGAGAAGACATTTTTTGAAGTTTGATTTTCGGAATTTTAACTATTCGAAATTCTATTTTATTCGACGTTTAATAATTCGAGATTTTACTAGTTTGTTATTTCAAAGTTCAAGACTTTAACGTTCACATTTTGTTTTTCGGGATTTCTCTTGTTCTGAATTTTCTCTTTCGAGATTTCTACAGTGACTTCCAAGAGAAAAAGGTGAGACATCATATATATTTGCATACGGGAAGAGGGATGGCAGTGACAGTGTATGCCTGACTTTGCCAGAGCTCATCCAAAATACTTTGTAAGAGAATAAGCAACAAGTTATTGACCACTATTAACGATCGGATAGTAGTGCAATTGTGCCTCATTATGATCATGCTATGACTTGTAATTGTGGACGATTACGATGCATAATTACATGCAATGTCGTCATAAGGGGCATAGTTTTGGCTATATTGGTAATTAACTGAAAATACCACATAATAGTTACACGTAGACATGCTGAAAAATCATTCTACGTGTGCGTGCAACGTAATTATAAAAAGAAGACGATATGCATAGATAGTGACAACATATGGTTGGAATAGGGACCGGAAGATTCTTCTTTTTTTGTCATACTCATGGTCGTGGCAAGTGATTGATCGAAAGAAGGCACGATAAAACTTCTTTTTTTGTTGCGAGACGATAGATTTCTTCGCTGTGAACATCTTTTCTCATTGAAATAACTGTTCATAAGCAGAGCAAAAGCTTAGAAAAGCAATAAAAATA